GAGAACACGAAACGTGTTGCGGTAGTAAGGTCGTTCGACAACAGAGAAGTTACACTTGTTTCAAACTATGCATTCACGGAGCCTGTCATCACAGCTCGACGATGGGACGAAAAGGAAGAAAAAAAATTACGCAACTAGAACAATTAAGCGTTGTGGCAACCTACAACTCCTTCATTCCATGATAGGAGTAGACCTGCTGAACTACTTGACTGAACTTTGTAAGTTTCCTATAAAATCCAGAAGATGTTATATCTACTTCTCAGCGCCTGGCTTTTGTACCGATGGCATTTTGCTCAACTGGATCAGAAATAAATCAACCTCCGACGATTTCAAGCTGACGTCACGGAGTAACTGATTACAGTAGCAAAAATACTTGTTGGGAGGCCACCATCGTCCATCATCCCAGCTGCTTAAAAAGGCAAGCTCTACGAAAGTAAGTTTTTGGCATAATTTGCGCTTTGATGGAGTTGGCCACATACGATTGTGGGTGGCAGTAGGCCACACACAATCGTATGTCTGTGGGTGGCAGTAGGCCACCCACAATTTAAGCCTTGCCCACCAGGAATGAAATTTTTTTTATATACATACTTACGTAAGTGCAATGTTCACCTTTGTTACAACAAAGACCGAAATTGTATTGTGGCCTACCAGAACTAGAATTTTCGGCAGTAATTTCCGCTGTATCAGATATGATACGTTTTGTATTGTATTCAAGTAATATTGGAAAACAATCTTTGTTTTGTTTGGGTTCTAGACGTATCTTAAGCATAAACCATCTTCCAATAATGTTTTGCATACTTAGACAAGTTTTAGGCATTACAGGGTTTTAATAAAAATAGTGGTATCGTTTGTATTTAAAACAAATTTAAATTCTGGTACACATTTTTTATAAATAATCTACAAATAATACAAAGAAGAATGGTATCAGCAAGCTTTTTTGGGGTCCTCATTCAAATTTCTAGTAGTTGATGAATTATTAATATTTATGCTAACGAACTTGTCTATTATTGCAAGTATGAATGAAACACTACGATGAATGCATCTTGCTAAGTTTTAGTCCCAATCACACAGCTTCCGGTATGTCACCTTTTCACATGGCAGTTTCAGACGCTTCATGGCAGCACTGTAATACCAGTATTTTTTTATACTCGTCTAATGATTACAAAATGGCCAACAAATAGACCACAAACGGTTTAAGGTTGGATGTAGTTACCGCACATATCACCGAAAATAAACAGGTGATCTTTAATGTGTATAAATACTCGCCAAAGAAACGTTACTTTTTTGTTACTGGACACACACCTAAAAATGTACGCCCAATTAAAAAAAAATCAAGCCGAAATTGTATTTTACATAGCATACTTATGCCCCCTCTAGACGTTTTCGATTCCTGAGCCATCGATCTTATGTACCAAGGGTCGTGCAGCGCTTAGCATTATAGCCACAACACAAAGAGCCAGTATTGGCACGCCGTGTATTTATTCATATCTAGGTATAATGCTCGAAACATATGCACCTATACTTGAATGTGCATGGTGTATTTGCACGTACTCGTTTGTACTATTTCTGTCAGCTCTAGATACACTTTATAAGTGTTTAGGCAGTATAAATTCTACAACGACTGAGCTTCCAACAAACATTGCAGGTAATGATGGGATCGATATTAGACTATTCGCACTTTAGATTCAATGTCTTGAGTTACTGTATAAGCAGCATCCACCAAAAAAATATATTCGCCGAGAACTAAATGTTTAAACACGTGCCAGTACCCAACGAGTCAACACATTGAATGCGACAACTCATTGGATAAGAATGCGCGCAAGCTGCAAGTACTGGCTAATTTATTGCGTTTTTCTCCTCGTCCGTTATAATTTTGGCCGTGCTTATTCATCGTGATAAATCGCACATCGCTTGCGCGGAAAATACTACATAGCGATTTAAAGCAAACGTTTCATTGGAACGACTGTCAGGCAGATTACCGCGCATTAATTGGACGAGCGCCATGACCGAACGAGCTCTCATATTTATGCGTCGCTCCTCGAACACTTTATGTTCACTTTCAGATTTTATTCTTTATCAAAGTCGACACGTATATATATTGGTGGGCTAAGTCAAATACTCCCAGTGCTCCGGCCACGCGAGGTATACTAACGGAGCACGGTCAGTCATTATTGCTTCATCTTCGCCAGTCCGTTCGGAGTCGCTGCTCAACTTCGCGAGCACATAATGCACCGAAGACAAGACCGCAAACGTGCTCCAGGGCGAAAGAAAGATCGTGCTCGGAGCTTGGCAGAAGGGCAGCACGTAACCTTTGCGCGCATAAAAGGCCTCGACCGCCCGCGAGATTATGTATCGCGTGCCTTTACGAATACCACCCATGTTCTCACAGGACGAGCGTTTTGTGCGGCCAGCTGCCGCTCGGGGCTTGGACCAAACAGAGGTATGAGCTCCTCACCCGCTCTGTGGTCGGTGCCTGAAAAAACAAAATAAGGCCTCATTTAACACGCTAATTGAGCCAAGAGAGACAAGCCCGCAGAAAGACGAACGGATCAATAAATGGGACTGAAGAAAAACCGGCCTGCTTCGTTACCTGAATGCTACGCAGTGTTTTGCTTTGTTCTGTTTTGAACACTACGGTTTATTGAGCTCACAACAGCGTGGATCTCAAGACCTCACTGGAAAACGATCCTTCCCCGTCGGCTCTGGATGTCATACTTGGTATCATAAAAAGCCGCGGGGGAACGGTACCAGCACAAAAGTGCGTTTGAATGCGATTTATAGTTCTCTGGTTGCGAGACTGTATATTCACGTTAAGGTGTTGTCCAGAGCACAACTCTGATTAGTTTTAGCGCTGCGTGGAGTACAGCCACGGCTGCGTGAGACGAAGACATTCGAAATGGCCAACGCAGGACTTGTCTTCTTACGTTGGCGCTTCCTACTTCGTGATTGGCTCCTCGGCGTTCTTATTGGCTGATGTCGGAATCTCATTGGCTGCGGAAGTGTAATGAGATGCTTCGGACTCGCCACACCCTGCGCCTCATAAGGTGTCAGTGACTACTGCCTCTTCACAGAAGTAGCTGGAAGCCTCCAGACCAGTCAGCTATCCTGAAGACATCTCTGCGTCTATTGGTCACAAAACTCGCCGCCGGCCGTGTCGGTCGAGAACGAGCGTCTGTCATTCGAACCCCGGGTCAGGCGACATGAGCGGCCAGCAGCACTCACTCCGCCATTTTTGTTGTGGAGGGGGGAAAGTATGACAAACACGGAGACCTTTTGTTCAGCGGGCGACTGCAATAAAAAAAATATTTGGAGGGGGGGGGGGCATTTGTGAAGGGGATTTTTTTTATAAATATGTGTATTTTGTTATTTGAATGGGGTCGGGGTGTATGACGGAAGTATACAATACTTTTTTTTTTTAGAAAACATGAATTCTACCAAGGTATGATACGCACCACTTTACCGATCTTTATGAGAAATACACATCGCATCTAAATAATGAGACAAAAAACGCGCAAATGCTTGGGATGTCATGAGTGCCCTGGGTTACAAAAGTCAAGGTTCTGCTAGAAAAACAAAACTAACGCGTCTTCCTCCTTTTAATTTTGTTCGTGCACTGTGTGAACAAACGCCACGTCCAGTCTGTCCAAGCGAAATCTGCCCCTGCTAACACCCCCCCCTCCTTAAAAAAAGTAATATATATATATATATATATATATATATATATATAAAGGCGGAGAGCTTTCGAAGGAAAGGAGGTACGAAGTACGCTATATTTTCAAACTTTCGTACCAACAAGCGAATTTTTGACATCCCACCCTGTTTTTTTTTCGCTCACTAGCGATATGCGATTGGTAAACTTCCAACCTAAAATAATTTATCCCAGTCCAAAATAAATTTCATAGTCCCTTTGACACCCTCCAAGCTTTATCGGTTTTATCACCCGAGAACCTTACTTCTATGACTAGCTAAAACGCTTTGGTTTTACTGTTTTCATTATCAGCAGTCTCATGTTTATGTTTCTACATGCCGTCATGGTATCATGCGGCGACGTATTGTCACGTGACGTCTGAATGTAAAGTGACGTCAAAGTGTCACGTGACGTCATGACATCACTGGACTCACGGTGTCACCTGACGTCATTAAGTCCCGTGGCGTCGCAGTGCAACGCGAGTTGACATGACAATGTCACGTCATAGTGTTAGCTGGCGCTGGGTTGACGCGATGAGCGGCCTGACGTCAATGAGGAATCTTTTGGCGGAGTGCCGAATATGGCCCGTGTCGACACGGAGCGCGGTCGACGGCACGAAACCCGCGAAGTGTCCCTCTATCTGCTATCACAGTAAAAACAAGTTGTGTCCTGAATAACAAATGCTATGTACAAACATGTCCAAATACCGCCATATTTTAGAGATGCGTGAGGACTCACGCGCAGCTACGGGATCAAATACAAGGAACTCCGCTTACTTTCATGGACGAAAAACATCGAACCATCGACACGTAAATAATTGTTTTCCACCGCTGCATAGAGGAAAGTTCGCCTCCCTTCCACACGGCAAGTAATAATGTGTTCATGAACCACTTACAAACGTAACCGCGTTATTTGGGCACTGTTCTCGCCTCTTTTAGTGTATCTGCATCAGTTTCCCCACTGCATGCCGGCAAGAAGTAGCCCAACGAAAGCACAAGAGAACGCGAGGAGGCCGAAATGTAACACAGGTTTGATCCTGCTGAGCAGACACTAACGACCGTGCGCATCTTTGGCAATAAAAACAAAAACATTTTGTTAGGTGAGGTATTCAAATGACAGAAAAAAATATCGGGTTGGACGGAGTTTTAAGGCTTTTCCAGGATGCTGGGGTGGGTTCTCTGAAAGCGCTTAGAAAACGAGTTATAAAAAGTATTTGTGTGGTGAACTAATGCGTAAAATTATGCGAATATATCAAGTGACAGTATATTGATATTTTGTATTCACTCTCTCTTCCATTCTTTGTGTGAATCAGTGCTCCGCGATGAGTTCCGGGTGACGCCCAAGTCCTCCCGCGTGGCGGCGGGCGATTCGGCGACGCTGGAGTGCGTTCCGCCCAGGGGCCACCCCGAGCCCTCGGTCACGTGGTTCAAGGACGGCACCCAGGTGGCCACGGGCACGGGGCGCATCCGCCTGCTGGGCCACGGATCGCTGCTCATCGCCGACGTCAGGCACGCCGACCAGGGCCGCTACGTGTGCAGGGCCGCCAACCTCCTCGGCACCCGGGAGACCCCCGCTGCCACGCTCTCCGTGCACAGTGAGAGACCCACTCCTCCCTCAAATCTCGCTTGACGGGATCTCCTAGACTGTGAAAGCGAAATCCGTGCGAGCAAGATATCGTCGAAAAGAAAGATCGATTGGCACACAGCAGCCAAAGTGAATCAATCGCCATACTTCGAAGGACGTATTTTGCTAATGCACAATGCACAATGCCAAATTTCTCACAACAATACGAAATGCATTCACTTCCAACTGTTGCAACATTCGTGGAAGTACCCCTGACGCTGATCACGCCCTGAGAAGTGATTAATCACGCTTTCTTTCGCCAATAAAAATGTCACCTCCGATGACTTCCTTTCGACGTGATCAGTTGCTGAGCTCCTTCCCTCAGTAGACCACGTTGAAGGACTCTCTACCTCCTCTTCAGATTAATTTTGTGTGCGAGCATTTTCGCCTCTAAGTACTATTGCTGCGTGCCGAAGAGGAGCATTCTCTTAAACTAAAACTAAAATTATGTCGTTTTTTTTTATATAAAAAGGCGGATTGGGGAAAAAAATGTACAACGGCAGCGTGAAACAGTCCGAACGTCCCTTTACAGTTTGACTCAGAACGGAACATAGCAAATAAATATTGAAAAAGCAGTCCAGAATACAAAACAAACTAAATCATTTATGATCTGATCCCAGAATAACAGTTTGATTAAATACGCACAGTGCATGCTTAACAGTATAATTTTTTTCGGCATTATAGGCGCATTGAACAGGCACGCTGGAATTGTTTTCCTTAATTTATTAGTGTAATCTCAGCTAAGATATATATGATAATTTACCTGAGTGCAGATATGCAAAAATAAATGCTAAACGATTTTTATTACTATTGATATCAACATAGTTTGATAAGGTTCGTTGTTCAAAATATTGAATATAAAAATGAAAGACTTTTAAAATCTCTGTAATGCGAAATAAGAGCGCAGCTCTTGAGGAGGAGGAGGGAAGGGCACGGAGGGGAGGGTATTCTCCTCCTCCCCCTCTGCACCCTCTGCTCCTTCCCTTCTTCTCTTCCATCCCTCTTCTCCCGTCCTCCTCCAATTCTGTCTCCCCGCTAAATTTAGCGGGGAAAATGACGTCACATGACTTGGTGTCACGTCACCTATGAACGAATTCAGTTTTTCAGCCAGATTTAGCGGGAAAATTGACGTCACGTGTCCGCGACATCCACTCCCTTCCCCGCTAAATTTAGCGGAAAATTAAACTGGTGCTGAGGTCACGTGACGTAAACTTTCCCGCTAAATCTGGCGGAGGAACTGGATTTGTCCGCTAAATCTAGCGGAGAAACTGAATTTCACCGCTAAATTTAGCGGGGAATTGAATTGGTGTTGGGGTCACGTAGCGGGGAACTTAGTTGGTGTTGAGGTCGCGTGACATCAATTTGCCGCTAAATTTAGCGCGATTACGCCGACGCCGTTGCCGACGCCGACACCGCGGAACACGGGAACGTGGGCCTAATAGCTGCGCTCCAAAAAAAATGATACTGGGTTTCATGGAAGGACAACTTTCTGAGAGACCCTCGGGATAAAGACGCGTTCAAATTTCCGAGCTGCAACCGTCGCCCCATAGCTTTTTGTTGCAGTCGCAAAATCGATCGCTTCGTGGCAGCCTCTCACGGCCGATTTTTTGGACCGGTCGACCGGTCACCCGGAGGCTGGAGGAATCAGCGGCGCCTCGAAAGTGACGCGGGGTGCTCCGCGCGTTTGTTTACATCCCGCACGTTACCGGGAGTTGCAACCAACATGCCCGTTTAACGCCTCGGTTTGCCGGAGCGACCATGGGTACAGATCCATGGAGGTCTCTACGGCGGCTTTGATCAACGCTATAAAAGAGTACCCATTTTTTTTACATATAACAAGCAGAACCGCATTTTAATTGAGCACCCGAAAAATGCTCCGCCTTAAAGAAAATTTGTGGCTTTTAGCTTGACAGTCACGTACTGTACGTCAGAAGCTCGTATGAGAGCACTTCAATGCAGCGATTGTGCTTTTATTGTACGGCTCCAAACTACCCAGGCCAATATCACGAGTCTTTATCTTATGGCGAAAACGAGCACGTGTAGCTGTGCTACAACCAAAATGGGAAAGCAGCGAAATGCGAATGTGATCAGCTGTGGCGGGAGGACGGAATCACCTGCGGCTTCCGCGAACTTTCGAAAAGCGACTCGCGAAATCGCCAGTAGTGCGAACGTCGGTGGTCACTCGTCGCCGGTCGGTCGTGCGAGGGCGGCGAGTCGCAGGTGTGAACGCGCCCTAATGCTATTGATTGCTACGGACGTCAAAGTAGGACTGTCACATCATAACTATAGCCACTGGCAGGATGAAAAAGGCAGGAAGAAAATTCAGCTGTCCCGCCTCCAGCGCGAGCCTCCTATCAAAGGTTACGCACATGCACATGCAGCCAATGCACCACGGAAGGCAACGAGCGCGTGCTAGAGGCCGGGCGTTCCAAAGGAGATCCCAGTACTCACCTTGTCAGTTACTTCTGCGAACTTATTACGTAAGGTTCTCCACTAAAACACTAGCGCCTTTCAAACAGAGATTTGTAGCCCGTCGTTGAAGTAGACCTGGGCAGTTGTATTTTGAAAGGATGAAGTCTGCTTTGTAACCTACAGTGGCGAATTTGGCTCGCGTTACGAAAACACCTGTATACGAAAAGACGTCCATAACACTCGGCGCCCAAGAGGCATCAGAGGCCGCTGTGGGAGCAGGCTGCGAGTAGATTTGAGCTGATCAAGTAATGACGCGATATTGTTACGAATGAAAAGAGAACTGAGTTAAAAAGCGTCAGGAAACTTTAATTCTACGATGACGACAAAGGAGTCGAGAAGTTTACATCTCGAAGCACTCTCTGTTTTGTTGTTTACTGAACGGAACATTTCAGAATTGACTTGACTGGGTGCATGAAACAATTCGCATCTCCTATCGAATTTGATAACCGCCGAAGTAACTGTAAAATACAGGGCACGGCACAAGTATCGTAAATAAGCAATCGCCAGTTTTGTTTCCTTAGAATTTAGAAGTTGTCATTACAACCACAAGTGTGATGGATACAGCGTAATTGGGGCACTAACCTAAGCTGTAAAGTCTGGTTCCAGCCAAGATCATTTGGACGTAAAACGCGAGAAAAGCGTAGATATCGTGTCCACAATAACATTGTCGTGCAGTGTATGCACATACCAAGCTCCTTTAGCGACGTTGACAGGGCTCTCGTGTTGATATATTTCGAGTACTTGCAGCAAACATGCCTTAGAGGCACGTAAATCTTTTAACAAAAGTTTTACTGATATTTGCGGCAACCTTTTTTGACGACTGGCTACAAACGTACAGACTTTTCCACCCTCCGTCGCATGGGCGCTGTCATCTTGGAATCACATGACGCGGCCGCCATAAAGTGGCTTTAGCTCGTCGCTCGTCTTGGCCCTCTGCGCCTTGGCGAAGTGTTGTGTTCGTGTTTTTTGTCGCGTTTCATCGCGATAATTTGAACTTCCTTATGAAGTGTCGTGCGGTACTTACTTTTGCTACCTAACTGCATGTCATCAATATATGCACAACTGCTGCACTTGATTTAAAAACATGTTTCGACAATTTGCAGCGTCGGCATACCTGATGTATGTGAGGAAAGAAATTTGCGTTAGCACTGGCGCACATTGAGTATGCAGATGTCACCAAGACACACGGTGGTTAAGAGTCAAATTATTTATGAGAGTGCAAATTCGCTTAAGTGATAGTGGCTTAAAATGAAGCGCAAGGTATATTTATAATCACGCACTTATGATATTTAAAAAAAGAAGGCAAATATATTCAACGCAAGGAGCTACTATGCTTGTTTTGCGAAAGCACCATGCTCTGCCTTCACAACAAATCCAAAACAGTCGCTTTCGATTGTATGGTGGAATAATATTTGAGGTATAAACATTCGCTCGACCCGTTTATTTATAAATTGTATCCCATTGTATATTAAATTGTATACAATTGTATCGTGTATCCAGTTAAATTAATTTATTTATACACAAAGGGTTTGCCTCCCCGGGGGAAAAACGTGTCAAAGACAGTTTGTGCGTGCCTGACGCAAGCAACTGAGGCGAACAATATGTTATGCCGAAAAGATGCTGTCCGCTCAGAAATCACTCGTGCGCAACGTTGTCAATGCCGGATTTACTCTTGACGCGGCTGAAAGTGAAAAGCGCATCTGTTCAAACAAATAAAGATCTGTCTACACAAATCGATGTAGTGGTGACTGGCATTCACCTTCAGTCAAGCTTGTTGGAAGTCAGTTCTTTTTTGCCATTTAATTTTATTTCGCAAATTACATGGAAGACAGAGACCAGACTTCACTTGACGGGTTTTTCCCTTATTTGATATTCTAAATTCGTTGTAAGGAAATATCCGTATAACAGATAGTTTCCTAAGGCCAACGAGGTAGAGGGGCTTAGAGCGATAAACCGGGGTTCCGGTATGCACTCGAAAGTGACCCCCATAAGGAGGCTGCCATTGTACGCAAATTTGACCACACGTCACATGACCAAACCAAAGACGTGACGTCACAGGAAAGATGGCAGCGCCCATGCAGCGGCTGGCCCCAGCTGGGCCGGAGCATTGGCCGGAGCTTGTCGGATGCTTTGTTCGTTGTCGTTCGTCTCGGCGAGTTGATTTTAAACGCGGAAGCCGTCATATGAGGTTGTGTTAAGCCGGTCGAAAGCGACTTCATAACGTGAAAATACGGAGGGACGGTGAGCATTTCGCTAGTGACTTACGGGGACATTGCCACGAAGGAGACAATCGGCCTTACGTTGCTTGGACCTCGGATTGATTCGGACACCGCTAGGATAAATTTTAAGGCGACATTTTTGTGCTATCGCTGACCATCGGAACCTTCGAGATCTGCAGTAAGGCGTGTACAACATATTTGGATACACAGTTTAGCGACGGAAATTGCGTGAGTCGTGCTTGGCAGTGTGCAATCGTGGTGCCGCTTCGTTCAAGTGTCC